AATGAGCTTCCACTTTGACTATGACCTTGTCTAAATAAGATTAGAGTCGGTGAACTCAAAAGGCTTCCATAGCCTTGGCAGCTCATGACAAGAACCTAGGGTGATTACTGATGCCATAAACAGGAGTGTCAATTGGTAAAGTCAACAACAGGAGTCACTGTGCACTTACTCCTCATGTAGGATCTTTGTCCTTAGTGTGCTGTACATTGAGATTTAATGTTATAACTAGTACTCAAACAGTATTTTTCACTTTATGTTTCTGTGTGGGAGCAAACTGTTGAAATCTTTACTTAATGTATGCTAAACTGATCTTCTGTATATAAAGAGAAACGAAAATGAATCTTGTTGTGAATGGAAGGGGAGAGGGAGTGGGAAAGGGGAGGGATGTGGGTGGGAGGGACGTTATGTGGGGGAAGCCATTATAATCCATAAGCTGTACTTTGGAAATTTATATTCATTAAATAAAAGTTTAAAAAAAAACTAAAAAAAGAAATTCCTAGGGAATAAAAAAGCATTTAGATTAAATAGTTGGAACAACTGATTTAAAAAAAATAAATTCAAAAAATTAGATTTTAAAAAAAAAGGAAGTATCACTATGTTCCTAAATCTGTGTGGATGTGATACATGAAATTTGTTCTCCTTTAAAAATAAATAAAAATAAAAATAAAGCAGGATATATGCTAGTATATTACTGATATGTAATCTAATAAATATATGGCAATATGTAACTGTAAGATATTCTTTTGCCAGGGAATTTTCAAGCAAAGTAGCTAATTAGTTCAATCATCAATTTTGATTGGAATGGTTTGTAAACCACTGTGATATGTCTATAAATTTGTGATTTTCTGGTTAAAAAAAAAAAAGGTTGTAGAACAGGATCACCCATTTCAAGTCTTCCCATTTTGTAACTTGTTTGAGAAAATGAAATCAGCTTCAGAGGTAGAGTCTTAGTATTTTAAATAAATTGTGGTCCTGGACCAACAGTGTTAGCATCCCAACCATCCCATTCCTGATAATTTACTCAGAGGAAATGAAATCAGCATATGAAAGAGATATCTGTACCACCATGTTTTTTGCTGCTCGATTCACAACAGCTAAGACAGGAAATCAACCTAGATGTCTATCAACTGATGACTGGATTGAAAAAAAAGTGATATGTATGCATAACAGAATACTACTACAACATAAAAAAGAATAAAATCTTGTCATTCACAACAAAATGGGTGCAACTGCAGATCATTATTCTTAGTGAAATAAGCAAATTTTAAAAAAAGATAGCATATGTTTTCTCTGATTTGTGAAAGCCAATACAGAGACTACAAAAGTTGAAATATATATGAGTGAAATTGACATCTTGAGATTTGATTATTGTGTATAGCCTTTGTCTATACACAATATATATGAAATATGTTCTCCATATATAAATAAAAAAAGAGAAATACAAATTATGCTCCATCCCACCCAGACTTGCTGAACCCAGAATCTGGGGTGGGGTCCATCCTACTGTATTTCAACAAGCCCCCTGGGAGAGTCTAATGTCCTCTCAAAGGTCTAAACCACTTCCTTTAGGTAGTGAAAAAAAAAAAAAAAAAAGAACAACATACACAATTTTCCCAGCACCATTTTTCAGGTCAGCACTGAGAGCCTGCCCTAAGTTCCCCTCCTCCAGCTGAAGAGATATCGCTCTCTATGTGCCTCCCAGTTCCAAATAACTCATCCTTTAGCAGCAACTGCCTCAGCTAGAGCTTGGAAGGACACCAATTCCTCAACTGGCAGAGGGCAGATGAGTGGGCACTGAGATCGGTGACGTTGTTGAATGGCAAAGTCAAACAGCAACTGCCCTGCCCATGGACTCTTCATAGCTGAGTAAGGTGACTTCCTTATTGCTTAAATCTGTATAACTAGAACTTTCTGGAATATTTCCCTACTGACAAAGTTTACAAACTTCAATATGTTGAAAGTGTCCCTACTTCTGCCCAGGACTCTGGTGTCAACCTAAAGTCAGATGCCCTGACATGCCAATGAAAATTTAATAGCATTGTGAGCAAAAATGGCTTTGTAAACATGACAGATGTGAAAATTAAAATGGCAGTCCCAACTATCCAATAACCAGTACGATTGGGTTCAATCCATAGGCAGACTTCTACATTTTAGGTTAGAGTTTGAAAGAGATTTTGTAAAATTATAAACTAGTACATTTTCATCACAAACTAGAAAACTCATGATATGTCCATGGGTGAAATGCTTAATGCAACTTTTGGTTTCACCAGTCCCCTCTGATACCTTTTATAAAATGAAAGAAAACAGGCTGAATGGTCTCTGATAGGAAGATCATCTGTCTTGCATAATTCAGGACTGAGGCATTTTCCTTTCAGGACTAAAGTGTTTGTAGGCAGCTGGGGTAATTGGTCAATTTACTCTGTTCACGTTGACCAAATAGATTTGAAAATTTACTCTTCACTCTGTTTACAGAGAGCCAAGTGACTTATTTCCTTTAAGATGCATGAGGTGGAGCCACTATTGTAGCACAGTGAGTTAAGCCACCACCTACAACAACAGCATCCTGTATGAATTTGACTGCCGTCTGCTCTGCTAATGAGCATTGGAAAGCAGAAGACAAAGTACGTGGGCGCATGACACCCAAGTGAGCAGCCAGGAGCAACCTGGCCATTGCAGTCATTCAATGTATCAACCAACAGGTGGAAGATCTCTCTCTCTCTCTCTCTCTCTCTCCCCCTCTCTCTGTGTG